ACCCTCTTTCTCTCGCTTACCGGTAACAGTACACAGCGACTATCGCCACGGCGATGAGCAGCAGTATCCCCATGGCGACGAGCACTCCTGTCAGCAGCAGCTGAGAGTGACCCCCCCCTACGAGAGCAAACACGTAGATAAACACAAACTGTTGACTTTATAACGACGGTCTGTCTCTGTCGTGGGTTTTATCCAGATCAGCTTCAGGCCACAGTCACAGAGCAAGTTTACGTTTTATCTTCTTTTTTAAAACTTTCCTCCTACTGACATAAAAAAACTATTAAAATGTGTGAAAAATAAAAATAGATGTTATTCAAATATAAAAAGAAAGAAGAGGGAAAACTAAGTACAACCTAAAAGGACGAGTCTGTATTATCTGTATAAACAGGAGAACGTACACAAACAGTTTTAGCACCTTTTCAGGAAACTGTTGAAGAACCTTTTGTAAAAAGGGGAAACGTTGTGTTCAGCCCATGTTATTAAAGACACACAACGCTACCATCAGCTTGGCTCCTGTACATCAGGGTGATGCACTGCTGCTGTATACCGTTTGCATGATGTCACATATGACATTGTACATATAAGTAACACATGACCTACAGCGTAGCGCGACCTGACGGCTGCCCAGACGCACTGTCGGACTCTTAGTACAAATACCTAACATGGTATAGAGGGAATGTGCACCGTCTTTCTCTCTCTGTCTGTGAATTTACCAGGATTCAGTTTCACTAAGGTCAGAAATCCAAGAGAGCGACAGTCAATCACCCCCTCAACATTACACACCGGAATCAGATGTGTTCCGGACTCGTACCATCAGGTTTGGTGCTGAAGCTGACTGGCGCGCTGAACAAGCCGTATCCAGCCTGCGAGCGAACACGGACCTGCACCTGGTACTGCACCGCCCGCTGCAGCCCCGTCAGCACCACCGAAGAAGACCTGGTGGAAACGTACTGCCACTGACCCGCCTCCTCACCATCCTGAGGAGGATGACATCAGTAATTACATCACAGCCCACGGCTCAGGCCTGTGTGTGTGTGTGTGTGTGTGCGCGCGCGTCTGTACCCTGGGGCTGTAGCGGAGCTGGTAGTCCAGGATGTGGTACTGGTTCTGCAGAACTGGGACATTCCACTCCAAAGACAGACTGGTCTCTGAGGCCGCTGCCCTCCTCACTCCGGACACTGGAGGAGGAACTACACACAAACCAACAACAACAGTTCATGTGTACTGTCCTGGTAGTAAAACGTCTGTGGAGATATCAGGTCCTTTCAGGTGGACTTCAGTGGAACCAGTTTAGACTGAAAGGCATGATGGGAAATGTATTTTGTACCATCTCTGCTGGTGGTGATATTGACCCTGTCAGAGGCTGGTTCTGACTGGCTGAGCGAAGAGACGCCATTGAGTGATTGGACGGTGAAGATGTACTTGGTTTGTGGGTGGAGCCCCCAGACGACGACCCGCCGCTGTGTCAGCCCTCGCTGCGCCGGCCGGTACAGAACGCTGTCATCACATGCAGAACAGGAGTTGACCAGTCCCTGAAGAGGAGACAGAAGGGGGCGGAGTCAGGACACAGGAGACTGGACTAACTTCTACTAATAATCTAACTGGACTAACTGGTGTCACTGGTGTACCTTGGCTGTGGTA